GCCGGCCGACCCAGAGTGTAAGTGCGTGTGTTGGGGCGAGCGGGAGCGGGCGAGGATGGGCACGGGATAGAGGCAGAGCCACCCACACCGCCGCAGCCCGGAGCTGGGCAACAGAGCCTCGGATTTTCCCTTCAATGGTCGCGGGTCGTCAGAGCTCCAATAGCCAGGAGCTCCCGTCGCTGCCGCCGCTGTCCTGCGACCCCGGGCAGGTTCGTAAAGTTTCCTGGGCTGGCTCAGCGCCCCGACTCGCTGACCTCAGCGCGGCCCTGGAGGGGGTTGGGACTGGGGCGGGGAGGAGGCGTCCTGCTCCGAGGACTCCGGGCGCCGCGGAGACACTTTTGTTTCCTCCCTGGGGGCGCCACGGCTCGGGCGGGGGTGGCCACCGCGCTAGGCTGGGTGAGGGCTGCCGGCGCGTCGGGGCGCTCTGCAGTTGGGGAAGTCTGGGCAGAGCGGGTGGTCCGAATGGCGGTGGGAACAGAGGGACCGGGCTCTGGGGGTGCGGCGCGGGAGGATGGAGCGCAGGGCCCGGGCCCCGAGAAGAGCGGAGACGTTTGGATTGGGGTCGGCTGGAGGAGGGAGCAGGAAGGCTTGGCGGTTGGCGCGTTGGGATGTTGGGGACGGAAGAGTGTGGGGTTGGGAGCCTGGAGTCTAGATTCCTGGGGCCGGAGACCGGAGAGTCTGCGCCCGAGACGGCGGCTGGCTGCTCGGACTCTGGGGTGTTCTCCGGCCATCGCCGACGGGAGGGAATCCTCTGGCCAGCGCGTTCCTGGGAGCTAGCAGTGATGGGCTAGATGGATGGGGGGCTCACAGGGTGGCGAGAGGAGGTGATTCAGGTAGCTGGGATTCTTGGGGGGTGTTTTTTAGTAAATACCCGCCTTCTGGGGACACACTGAGGACCCGGAAAGGCGGCAAGGGGTTTCGATAGAGATCTTGGTATGGGAGAGGGGACGCACCCGGAGCGTCCACAGAGAAGCGGGGCACCAGAGCACGGGACCCCTGGAATCAGAGCGGAGAAGGGCAGCCTCGACCTCCCAGAGTAGCTTTGAGGAAGAGGAAGTACAGAACTCAGTCGTCCCGGGGGTGCGCGTTGTGTGTTTGGGGCTGGGAAGTCCGTGCTATACCGCTGGCGCGCGCGAGGCGGCGTGTGTGTGTGTGTGTGTGTGTGTGTGTGTGTGTGTGTGTGTGTGTGTGTCCTCGACTGCGAGATCTGGGCAGTAGGGACTCCAGCTCCTCTGGCTCTTTCCCATCTGGGGGCCATTTGAAGTTGGCAGCTGGGGAGGAGTTGTTGGCGGCTGGACCTGCTTTGATGAAAAGCTACAGGGTTTAGTCCGCCCCGCCCCCTCTGTCTCCCCCAGTAGGGTAGCTCCAAGGGCCTCTGGACAGCTCCCGAGGCTTGCTCAACACAGTTTGTGATGCATCCTGGGCCTCCCACTACTGGCCAGGGCTTATGTGGACCTAACTGATCACAGTTAAGATTTTGGAGAACCTAAGATGAATTTTGTGTTCCTAGAACCAAAGGCCCCCAGTCTGGAGCTGCCAGTGACTTGGGGGTATGGTAGGAGGGACTATGGGAGAATACTTTTTTTTTAAACTTATATAAAATAAAATTAAATAATAACTTGTATTTAAATTCCAAATATTTGAGAGCATCTTGGGTACTAGAGAGACTTGTCCAGTCACAGTTTTAGATTACAAAGACTGTCAACATAATAGATGAAGGTCTCCTCTGGTTATGGTTTTTCATGTGGTTTCACCTCCATACCTGTTTCCCAAGGTTGTTTCAAGGATTATAGTTCCCTGGTTTATAGAACTTGGATCCTAGTAAATCAGGAGGTCTGTGCCCCTGCAGGCCTATCACCAGACTTAATTGTTCTTCCCCCTACTCTCTCTCTCTCACTCTCTTTCTCTCTTTTATAGCTACCATTTGATCCTTGCTCTTTCCTGTGGTACATTTCCTATCAATTGAAAGCTGTGGTTAAGTGTGCATGTGACCTTCTTTTCTACCACATTTATTACTCAGGTTTTTGTTTGTTGGTTTGTTTTCGTTCAATTAAATGACCTGGTAAATTGTGAGGGAATAACTCAAAGTGTTGGAACTGGAGTGGGAGAGGTGTCAGGAGGGAAGGGAACTGGGGAACAGGAAGCTTGGTATGTGTCAGGAAGGGGGCAGGCTGGGAGGTAGGCCCAGACATGACTGAGGAAACTCAGGACTTGAAGCAGTCATTGAGTCATTGGTCCTTCTGATGGGGGATGGTCATGTCCCCCAGAACACACACAATGTCCTTGTTGACTGCAGCCATTCTGAGGACCTTACAGCCTTCTTTTTCAGAGTTCTGTCCCCAGGGCCTTTGCACACACTGTTTCTTTTGCACAGGATTTCTCCTGCAGGTCCAGATGACTCACTCTCTTGCTTCCTTCAGGTCTCTGCCCACTTGTGTCAGCTTACCCGGATTTCCCTGACTACTCCATATAAAATAACAGCCAAGCCTTCCTTGGTCCTTTTATGTTTCTAACTTATTTCTCTTCGCATTTTTCTACCCAGTAGATGATGTTTTCATCTGTTTATTTGATTATGGTTTTTCTCTTGTTGGCAACTTCAATATTTCGATTGATTCCTAGCACATAGTAGGTGCTCAGTAAACGTTTGCTGACTGAATGAGAAATACCCATATTGGGTGAGGGCCTGCCAAGGAAATATACAAAGAAAATGTTTCTGCATCCGTGGCAAGTGCAAAGCCCAGGGTTTCGCGTTTCTTCAGCATCTTCTCCTCCATGTTTAGCCACTCTTTCTTTCAGACTGCTTTCTGCCTTGGGTATCCTCCTCCCTTAGAATTTCAGACTGAAGAAGGGAAGCAGAGGGGTGATTTCCTTGGAAAAAGTAGAAAACCAGCGCACTTTATTAAAAACGCATCCCCACTCCTGAGCTGGTATTTTATCCCTCTCCTTGGGGGAAAAATCTTTTCAAAGTCTGTGTTGCTTTAGCCCAAGAAAACTCCCCTTGGAGGAGCTTTGTCAATGGTGTGAAGTCAGAGACGTAAACTGGGTCCCAGCGCACTCTCCCAGAAAATGCAAGTGAAGGCAGAGGAGAGGGGGCTGTGAGGGAGGCCGAAGACGCTGGGGTGGCACATGCAGAGGAGAAGAGAAAAAACGTGCCTAGGAGAAGAAAAACGGAAGAGAGAAAGCCGACGGGGGCTTCTCGGGGTGCTGCTACATCATAGACATTTATGAAATTACAGTAGTGAAGAAAAGCCAGGGCTTAAGTGTTTTCATGTAATTGACCTCCTTTGGGTGTTTGGTGTGAATGGGTGGGGAGAGGTGAAGGAAGAGAGGGCTTTGAAGCCCTTGCCTAGAGGATGTGGCTGGGGGTGTGACAAGGAGCTGCACTGAGCACACACTTTGCTTACTCCCATCTTTGCCTAAGGCTGGAGATGATCATTCCTATGGAGGTAACATTTCCTGTCCAGATCTCACACAGTGGGTACCATTATGGTTTGTAAGTGAAGCCTGCAACCACTCTTTAATGCCTACAGCCATCCAAGTAGATAGAGTTCGTTTATAAGACATCCTATTGAATTTGAAAAAGGTAGGGGAAATACTAAACCCTCTCGGTATCACAAAGCCTGAAGTGTTTGCTGCTAATTTTGCAATTACTGTTCTGCTTCCTTCTAGTCAAGGAGACCTGTGCTTTTTAAGATTAAGGTTATAACCCAGGAGGAGGCCATGATGCCAATTTAGTAGCTCTAAGACCAGCAGTGTAAAGCATGAAATAGAAGAGAGCAGAAGGGAAAAGGGTGTTTCACAAAACAGGTGTTGAATATTAATGTCTATTGTATGGCTCAATATGAATGGTGCTTTTTTTTTTTGATAATTCTGGAGGTTCTTGGAGTCTATGTAAACACTTAATCAAGGATTTTGATGAAAATGGTTCAGAGGGCCATACCTCAAGAAGTACTGAACTGTCCCCTTTTACAAAATGATGTTGGCTTAATTCCCTGAGAAAGATGCTGTTTACAAATGTTGAGCCAGATGCAATAAAAGAGTCAGTCGTTGACTTAACTTTAAAAAATGCTCCTGTTAATAGGATTTGACGGTGTGCTAGGCCCAGATGCTGTCATCTTAGAGGGCCTGGAAACCCAAGTGTCATGTTTTCACTGTAGTGATAGGGAGAGGCACGCCATCCATCTCAATAGCTCTTTCACTGTACTTAGGAAATGGACCACACATGTGCTTTTTTCCCCGAGTTTTATTTTAGAGGTTTTTGAGGTCTTTGGAAATATGAAATTTATTCTTCTTGACCTTCCTTTTAATTTTGATGCCTACCATTCTCCATATGTGTGATTTTTAATTATTTTCAGAGGCTTGCAAAGACAATGGTAATCTCTCCTGGTGGCAGCCACACGACTGTGATGCATGATTATTAGCTCAAGCATTTCAGCGGGCCTAGGCTTGAGACTGACTATCCAAAGATAGTGGCTGAGAGTTTCAGCACTGTTTGCCATCCGTACAGGGGATGGCCCCTGTGACATCTGCCTAGCCTCCTCAAATGCTTTCCAGTATGCCAGCACAGCACTTTTAGGTTCAGTAAAGCCAGACTGCGTGTGCCATACACACACTGGTTGCTATGCTCAATTCCCTGGATAATTTCAGTTGACTGAGTGTTAACAATTGCAACTTATCTATAATAGCTGAAATTCAAGCCTGCAAAGCCAGATCATGACCTGGGATTCAATTAACTACTTGTGCCATAGTATTCTGTTTTCTAACCTCTTACAAAATAAGTGCCGGTACCAATTGAGCAGAATTTTGCCGCCGGCCTAAAGTGAGGTGAACAGTTAAGTATCAGATAGGAATAGTGTGGGTGAAGGAGTGCTAGCTCATCAAAAGGAATTAACCACGGCAACAACCTGGCAGAGTGCTGAGTAGAGAAATTAGTCACATGTATAAATAGCAGGAGATGCTTCTTAGTATTCTGGGCCCCCACAAACACTGGTTTCCAGAATCTGAGTGAGATTATTATTGGAACCTCAGTTTTAGAAATTGAGGGTGCAGTTTGGGCTATTTTAGCTCTGGCAGTTAATGTAGGGAACAAAAACTTCCCTCAGTACAAAAAGGGACTTCTTGCTGCTCTCTGGGGCTGCTATGTGTTGGGCAGATTGTATTTCTGGATATGGAGCAGTGGTTTGAGAGAATGATGATCAGGTAAGCCCAC